CCCCAAAACCCCAAAACCCCAAAACCCCGCAATTAAAATTGACTTATCATCAAATTAAGTATAAGCTATTTCAATTTATTTAATTAAGAATAATAGTTACTGAATAAATATTTTTATTTGCAGCACCGAGTGATATGTTATATTCATCATCCTTCTATTCTTATTCACTTATGCTTATTCTTTTGTTCCCCCTTTTTCTTGACATACTTAGGTATTTTAGTCTTTCTTTTTTCTCTTTTTTCTTCTTTCACTTTCTTTTTATGCTCTTTCATCTATTCTTTAGTCATACCTTTAAGACACACAGTTGAATTTTTCTTTTCTTCAACTTCGTCTTCATCCTCGCTTTTACTTTCATCGTTTTCTTCTTCTTCATCATCATCACTACTACTTTCTTATTCATCTTTAGGTTTTTCTTTAATTACACCCTCTAATTACTCTTCTTGTTTAATTTGTAGTCCAGTAAGCTTAGCATACAACTTTTGATCATTATGTTTTTGCTTTTCAATTTCATCTGGAGCTAGTTCTTGAAGTGTGCGAGGAATATAACTCTGAGAAAAAACTCGGTCAGTTACTTCATCTTCAGCAGATATAATGTCTTTAACTTTTGAGAATAAGTCTGCTAATGCCTAACTCTCATCTTAAATTTGAAAATCAGTTACAAAATCGAATGTTTGTTAAGTATTTAAGACTTAGAGCCCTCTTTTTTTAAAGAAATCGTTTACATTTGCACAATCTCTTCTCAAAAAATCTAATGCCATTGGATGGTCATGTTCTACTGATTAACTTACATCAATAACATATACTTCACCATTATAGTAAAGCATATTATACTCACTGAAATCAGCATGGACAAGTCTGCACATTTGATACATTCTTCTCATGATGAAAAGCACATCAGTGTATGTCTATTAAATATCAATAATATCGGCATCTTTAAGTCTAGGCGCTCCTAATCCAGTTTCTCCAATAAATTCCATTACTATTACATTATTTTTTAGTAAGAATGGTCTAGGAGCCTTAATCAATCCATTAGTTTAGTTCAACCTCTTTAGATTACGAACTTCTTTTTCAGCCCAAAGCTATACCATTTTACGAGGATTAGATTTGCAATGGCCTTTCCTAAATCTAAATTCTCCTTCTACATATCGTTCTCTATCTTTGAATACTAAGATAGAAGTCTTAAAAATCTTAATAGCAAACTCTCTCTTATATTCTGCTGGATTTTTAAGTTCCATAGTATCCAAATCCATATGTCCCTCTGCTAAATAGACATTTGCTTCTTTACCAGTGCTCAGGCAACCATATATCTGATCGAGTTTTTAATTCTTGACCATTTTGTGCAAAACTATAAGAGTTCTTGGATCTAATACTTGATCAACAGTAGCTCGATCATTTTTATCTTTAACTCTTATTCTATCATCATCAATTTTTGCTTGTTGAGTTTTGAGAGCATTATTAACTTTTGTGTTAAGCTTCATTTCTAATTTGTGATCAACATAGTTAAGGTTAATTTTTTTATTCTCCTAAATCAATAAGTGTTACTTATCTGTGGCATTCATATTCATTTTTTACTTATAGAATGCCTTGAGGATCCCTTCGTCTTTGGATTCAGTTTCATCACCATCAAAATCCTCTTCAATATCATATTCATCCTCGCTTTCATCTTATGATTCAGGGTCAGAGTCTCCAACCTCTCTTCTCTAAAATTTCTATATTTTCTCCTATTCTTTGGTTGTAGAGAGCTTTTAAGAGGTATCGCAGAAATTCTTAGAACTCATACTACCTGTCTTTTATTGATTCTTAAAATCATTTGGATCGAAATAATCATCTTCATCTATAATTTGAGGAGTATTTCTTGCTGCTGATCTGTTGTTTTTTATATTATTCATGATGATTGTTTTTATCTTTTATTATTTAATAATAAACTTACTAATATTTTCTCATTATTATAAATTGTGGGGTTTTGGGGTTTTGGGGTTTTGGGGTTT